AGAGAGATCAGGCGCAGGACCAACGGCTTTACGTGCTTTCCGAGGCACGGGGGTGAGACATCGCCAACTTCCTGACTCCGGGCAGCTACTGAGAATTTCTTGACGGAAAAACTCAATAATTGATTTTGTTGGCCCGACCCGGGATTCGAAACCTGGACATCATGATCATCAGTCGCACTGCTACAACCACTCGACCAACGAGGCGGTCGCTTAGAAAAAAGTTTAAAGAAATAAACATATTAACGATTGAAATCGCAATATATTTATGAAAATGTAATGTTTGATGTACATTAAATATAAATAGCTTTGACAAGAATAAATTAATTTATCCTATACCTTTAAACAAGCAATTCTTGTATATATATAATCGGAATCTCGGAAACGGCTCCAACGATTTTCATAAAATTTTGTGTGCAGGGAGTTTCGGGGGCAATAAATCGATCTAGCTAGGATTTATTTTTAGAAAATGTCTTTTTGTCCGTGTTTTTAGGCAATGAAAAACTGCTACAATATCGTTAGAATAAGAAGGTAAATTTTGACGGTTTATTATTGATTACAAATAGCTTAATTGGTATATTGAGCGGTCACAAAATCGTAATACCATTTCGAGCCCAGACCGAACGACCAACTTTTTTTAATTTTTTTCTCAAGTTCCTTTCTTTTTTGAGAAAATCTTTTTTTCGAGCCCTTTTTTTAGTATTTTTTTTAAAAACACGAAAATTTAAATTAAACTAATTGCACTCATGATTATTTATTCAAATAACCAGTTCAATTTTTTTATCATTTAGTATTTCATCAGTATATAATTTGTATCTAAATATAATTTCCAAAATACACGAATTAAAAAAACCGAGCGAAAAATACCGAGCAAAGCTCGGTCAACCGGGTACTATTTATGAACAAACATAAGCTTGCAATACCAATTAATAGAGTCAACAGAATTAGTAGGTATTTCATTTATGGGGCAATAAATACACTTCCACAACAAAATTCCATAAAATATAGAAAATTTGTCTATTAACTAGTTTAAATGTTTTATTAAAGGAAAGTACAAAAAGGGTTATTACTTATTATAATGTAAACTCATACATAAATAAAAATAACACTCAGGAATGAGGTGATGGTCATCACGCAGGTACTATTAAAATTCGTTTAAAAAATTTACTAACACAATAATTGTAAAGTGAAATATACTTTTTTTTAAAGTTCCCGTTGGATTTCTTTATGGTTCTTCTCAGGACAGAAGTATTTTCCTACCCAATGGTAAATAAAAATTGACTTTCAATAAGTAGTATGTAATAATCAATATTGAATAAAAATAATTCTGTTTATTCTAAAACATTAGTTTTAACTTTTCGTTAGCGATTTCATATGCAGTAACAGTGACGAACTTTAATGTTTTTATAATAAAATAAATATTACAGTCCCCTTTTTAGGGTTCCGTAGTCAACTAGGAACCCTTATAGTTTCGCCATGTCTGTCTGTCCGTCTGTCCGTCCTCGCTTAATCTCTGTGACCGTTAGAACTAGAAAGCTGAAATTTGGTACCAATATGTAAAGTGGGAAGTGATTTTTTTTTTAATTTCAGCCCTAACGTGTGATATATTGTTGGAAAGGTATTTAAAAATGAATAGGGGTTTACTAAAATCATTTTTGATAATGTCAATAATTTCGGAAATAATCGCTCCAAAAGTAAAAAACAATGTATCCCCCCCTCTAACTTTTGAACCATAAGTTTAGAAAATATGAAAAAAATCTGAAAAGTAGAACTTTATAAGGGCTTTCTAGGAAAATGATTTTGAACTTGGATGGAAACAATAGTACCCACTACCGGGAGCAGTTGCAGGAGCGCGGAGCGCTGCTGGAGCGCGAACATAATGGATACCCACCTTTAAACTCATAAGTGGGAACACTTATTGTGACGAACGGCAAACTACGGAACCCTACACTGAGCGTGACCCGACACGCTCTTGGCCGGTTTTTGTTATTATAAGGTTCATTCTCACATTTAATTAAATGAAATTAAAAGTGAACTTTAATATTATGAGGTTCATGATGCCGCACTTCATGTTTTATCAACTTAACACATAAACCAAGCACAATAAGTTGTGATTGACGGTTTGGTGTTTTCAGAATGACATGTGATAAAAGTAGACCCCTTAAGAAGCAATATAATCGATACTAGCCCTTTGTTCTTCTCTGTATGATACAAACATGTCTATTATAGTTTTGTTTGCTGATATTATCTTTCTATAATGATATGTTATTTATTTATTCTTTATTGCATTCCTTAGTATAAAAAGAATAAAATTGGTGGAATTAATGCCTTGAGGTATTCTCTAGCAGTTAACCCATGGAGAATTTGACGTAGGTGTAGGAATACGGAATAAAACAAAATTAAAATGATAATTAACTATATAATATACATATACATTTTACTAATTAATAAAGCACATAATCTATAGCAATATTTTCTATTTATACACGTATATTAATTACAAATACATTCATACATTCTTACAAATATACATATTAACAAACATATATAAATAGTACATATACATAAAGCTATAAATATATACATCTGTTAACAATATAAATGACATGGATGATTCATTATTTAAATTTAAAAGAAACTACTTAGAACTGGAACGACCTAACCAAATACTGGCTATTGTTTCCAAATGGCCTGCAGCCAAAGACTATATAACCACTTGACTGCGCATACAGTGCCCCGACGCTCGAAAACTATTAGTATTTTGTCGCCTATGCATCGGCTATGGTAGTATTAACCATTTTAGTATTGTCCAAGTGTTAGACCTGTGTGCACGCTAAATTAATGCAAATTTTTATAATTTTTATGCAATTATAATGCATCAAAATGCCTTCATGCGCAGTGAAGTGGTGTGGGAAACATTCCAGGACAGATGTCCAAAAATAATGGAGTAACTTTTCATTGCTAAGTACAGTACAAAATATGAAAATTATTGTTGATTAATTCAGATTATGAGCCACCGCAGGGGTCTATCTAAATCGGTGGCCGGGTAAATAACGACATGGTTGAGTCGCGCGTTGATGTCTTTTGGAAAAGTCTCGTTCTATTATTAGACAATTCTAATGCTTCTATCCCTTTCTTTCCCTTTGTATGTTTATCGTAAACATTAGTACTTACTGTTACCTTTAATAGCTGAAAGTCGATATCGAAAATAATAAAATTATTAAGATTATTCAATTCACACACTGTGAAAAAATACTTATCTACTTTTAACCGTCTTCAGAAAAAAGAGGAGGTTCTCAGTTTGTCGGTATTTTTTCTTAGTTAAAGTTTATAGTTAACTAGTTAAATTAGTTAGATTGGTGTACCAAATCAGAACGGCTTACAATTTTAAAAAGACATTAAAGACAAGTCATTCATTGTACGGATCCACTACAGTAATAGATATTTGTCGTCGTTGTAAAATTTTTAATAATAGGGCGATCAATGAGAGTGGTTCAAAAGTACTGTCTTCGAAATATAATACCAATTATTTTATGAGAACGGTTTTAAAATCTCTGATTAGGTATTATTGATTCCCGGATATTTCATCAATATGTAATAGAATCAACAAATCATTTAATTGAATTAGCAAGATGCATAATTTACAAATTTAACGCTTGTTTATATTTTTTTACAAAGAACAATCAGGACCCCTAAACTTTAATTCGAAATAAATATAAAAAATTATTCATTTTAAAAATCAATAATAATAATATAATAAATACATGTTTTCGTTTAACTGATTGATTTTGATTAAATATTATTTATATGATTTTAATTGAGTATTTTTCATAATGATAAAATCCATTTTATCGATAACGAATATTTTCCTTTATTAAGAAGAGCAACCCTAAAGATAGCCATAACAACGCAACTTGACCATTTGCAGCCACGCGTTCCTCCTCGTCCCCCGGCCCGCAGTAGTGAGTCGTACGCTTAGAAGAAATCTGCCTATACGCTCTCTAGTGGTTATATTCTCTATACAACTTGCTTTTAACCCCTTGTGTGGCATTCGGCCAGAATCTGGCCGATGGTTTATCACGCGCGTCTGGCAAGCGGCCAGATTCTGGCCGATCCGCGGTTGCGTATTTGGCGGGTAAAATGACCGGCGACAACGATTGCTAACACAAATAAACGTATGGAAAGTTCCAGAACGAAGAAAGAGTACGCAATACAATGCTACTAAGGCACTCTATTGTTTAGAGATTTTGAATAAACAGCCTGTGACGCAGTCGTTTGTGAATTTCGCTTTCGTGTGGTCGCCCGTCGCCGTTAAAGTGCCTTTTTTATAACTAAATCGAGTGAATAGTGAAGTTTGGTGCTGTTTTAACATGGAAGGGTAAGCTACCAACATTTTTTTATTAATAAATTAGGGATTTGTGTACTTTTTAATCAAAAATTTAATTTTTTCCTTATAACATAAACGGCTGTTGTACTTTATTACCATATACTTACCTGTGTTGTTGATTCAAAATACATTATTCATGGCAAATAGCTTTAGCAAATTAATTTATAATAGTAATTAAATACGTTTTATGTGTTCAGTGTGTCTATCTTTCCCTATATTTCACAAAATATCAAAATTAAAAACACAATAAACAATCTGCCAGATTCTGGCTGCTTGCCAGACAGGAAATTCGACCGAGTCCGCCATTTTATTTGGTAGCTCGATTGGTATGGATATGACTATTCTATGTTGGACTATTTTCCTGTATTTTTTATATTAGTTATTTCCGTAATGGTAAATATTAATAAAATATGTTCCTATATATCGTAATAAATTCATATAGTACATAAAACTTAATTTCGTGGAAGTTTTGGATTATTTTATATATTTTCATTTTAATTGCTCTACCATTTCATTGCATGTTTTCTGGCTTAGTGTAACAAGACGCCCTCGTACGCGTGGCGGCAGTGGCAGGGGTGTGCGTGTGAGGGGTGGTCGAATTGCACAAGTTGTGGTGATGGCGGGTGCTGAACGTGGACGTGGTCGTGGTCGACGTGGTCGGCGTGGTGGTGGTGATTGGATCTCGGGAAGACCTCAAGCAATTGACGAGTACGTATCATACGTTCATTATACCTAAAAAGTAAAAGTAAAGTTACAGCCTATATACGTCCCACTGCTGGGCACAGGCCTCCTTTCATTTCTGAGAGGATTTTAGGGCAATGAAATGTCCGCCACGCTGCCCCAATGCGTGTTGGCGAACTTCACATGTCTTCGAAATACAGTGGATTTCATTTATTACGACCTTGGTCCCTTGAATTTAAAGCATACTTTAGTACAAAATTCATGCAGCTATAGCAACTTTGGAGGCAACGCCGAGTTCGAAAATAGCGACTGTTTTTGATGAATAATTTGTAACAAATTCTTAGAAATCCCATGCAGACATTGCGACCGGAGTCGGCCGCTAAAGACACAAAGATCTATTTTTTTCACAAACATTTCTTATCTTTTGTTTACATTCACATTCCACACAGATGGTCAGCAATTGCGGAGACCTTTACCTTTTTTTATAGATATCAGCCAAGTAGGTATGGAAGCGTGTACATTCCGGAGTTAAATTTATGGTTTAGTTATAAAATAATATTCTGAGTAGACGTGGGAATGGACGTCGTTACGTCATTTTCAAGAAACGTAATGAAACCAGTAACTTGATCGGCGTCACCTGTTTCAAAATTAGTGATTTTTGTAACTGGCTATTTTTATTCGGCTACTGTGATTGTTTGCATAAATATCACCAGCAACTGTATACAATACAGTTACACACGAAACGAAAATAAATTTATTCACAATCTGTGTTTGTAGCTATACAGTAACTGTATACTGTTAAATCAATAAATTAACTTCCCTTCATACTTTATTCAGGTTTAGGACTGACTGTATTAAATGTATTTATGATTGATTTGCGTTTACTATGACACTAAGATGACGATGAGAGACTAAGACACGCATTTACAAAAATCACTACTTGTAACATGATTCGAAACTAGTGATTCAGTTACATGCCGCGTAGCCAGTTACTGTATCTAGTGACGTGAAATAACGCCCACGTCCAATTCTGAGTAGCATTTTGAAATGTACCAGTGAATTACTATGTGTGCAACATGCAGGTTTCCTCACGATGTTTTCCTTCACCGCCAAGCACGTGGTAAATCAGCACTTAAAATTGTAATTAACAGTTTCATTGGTGCCGGCGGGGATCGAATCCGGATTACTCGCGTTCTGTTGTATTTACAGCGAGCGTTAACCATCTGAGCTACCACGGCTCTTATATCTATATACCTAATATATCATTATACTTAAAAATATTCTTTTATAATAATTCTAATGATTGGTTTTGGAATTTTCAGAATGGAGATTGTTGATATTAACCAATTACAAGTTGGCGAGCCAATAGAGCGGCCCCTTCATCCAAGACGAATACGCATTTGGAGACCGTAAGTAGTTCTACTTGAGGTATGTTAGATGTAGATATTGTTCTGATTGTATTACTAACTCTATTTTTTTTCTATTATCAGGCATTCAAGACCCTATCCAGAAGTGGTAATTCAACCCCCAACACCACTTTCCCCAGCCCTTTCACTTTCTCCTGTACTGTAAGTATCTTATTTTACTGTTTAAGATTGCTAATATAAGTGTTTTAGTTGTAGGTATTGTCCTTATTGTATAACTTATATTCTTCATCTCTAACCAGGCCTTCAAGACCCTGCCCTGAGGTGATGGATCCGCCGCCTTCTAGTGCCGATGTTGCTATTGACGAGACACAACTTTCCCCAACTCTTGCACCTTCGCCTGGACTGTAAGTTACTTTTTTTCTATTTACATATTACTACCTGTTTCATGTGACAACGTTTTCCTGCGACGCGTTATACTTGTAATTACTCTCTAATCGTATGAAGTAATTTTTTATAACGGTTTTTGGTTGACGCCTACATAAAAATTATTTTTGTTATAGGTTTGTGGAATGTGGTAGTAAATCAACCAGCAGCACACCATCTAGAACGCCGGTACATAGTATTCGTCCTCGTCAGACTCTCCAAGATGATGACATTTGTTTTCATTTAAATTATGGTAAGTACATACTGAATTACGATTTTGATGAGGTTAACTTTTGCTGGTATTTGTATACACATATACAATTTTGTCTTAAGGAAGCGAACCGGAGTCTGACGAAAGTGACGATGACGACGTGGTGATACCAGCGTCTGTACCGAGGACGTTCCGGTTGATGATGGACACGCCAACCGATGATCATCCCATCGATTTAGAACAGCCCACCGACAACTTGGCGGGGAACCCTACAGATGCTGTCACGTCAGCTGAGGACACATCTGCTGACTCTTTTTACCAGCCCAGTAGATTCTTAGATTTTAAGTGGAGATCGTTTCCAAATCGTCCAGTTCCACCTGAACTGAGGCGGGAAACATTTTCCAACAGAGATGTTGGGCCAACCACTCCAAATGTTGATCCTTATGAAACTTTCAATTGCATTTGGGATCAGCAAATTATGGAGCACATTGTCGCGGAAACCAACAGATATGCGCAAGAATTGGCACACCAAATGTTGATGGACAATAACATCCATCTCAATAGTAGGATTTGCAATTGGGTAGATACAAATATAGATGAAATGTACACCTTTTTTGCCCTAATATTGGCGATGGGTGTTGTTGTCAAGACAAGACTTGAAGAGTACTGGTGTGCCAATTCCGACGTATTCTGCACACCCGGTTTTAGAGCACACATGTCTCTTAAAAGATTTCAACTTTTAAGCAGATGCCTGCATTTTAATAATAACCAGGACATGTGTTCTCAAGAACTGGATGTTTCCGAGGCAAAATTATTTAAAATTCAGCCGTTGGTGTCACATCTGAACATTAAATTTCAAAATTTATATAAAATGCGCCAAAATATAGCCCTTGATGAGTCGCTGCTTCAGTGGAAAGGTTGGTTGGACATCAATCAATTCATTCCAAACAAAGCCGCTTCAGTCGGGATAAAAACTTATGAGGTCTGTGAATCTCAAACAGGCTATTTGTGGCGGTTTGAGGTTCACGCCCATAAAAGATCCACAACGCAAACTCTAGATCCGTTAGATTCATTTACGTCGACTACTGTTTTAAGATTACTTCATGGTCTTGAGAACAGAGGTCACACGGTATGGATGGATAATTTTTATAACTCTCCCGCGCTCGCCCGGCGGCTTAAAAGCTTCGGGTTCGATTGCGTTGGAACGCTTCGAACCAATCGTCAGTTTGTGCCCGAAGCTTTGAGTCGGCTGACGAAAGCACAAATGCGCCCTGGTGAAATAACCGGTTTCACTTCAGGTGATGTTGATGTCATGGTATGGAGAGATCAGAACAGAGTTGCGACGATCTCCACGTACCATGGTAACTCCATCACCATGGTCAATAGTGTCCCCAAACCCATCTTGATATCAGATTACAATATCATGATGGGTGGGGTGGACAAAAAAGATCAAATGTTGGCAATGTACCCCATTGAGAGAAAAAGAACAAGAGTGTGGTATAAAAAAATTTTCCGTCGTCTCCTTAATGTTTCCGTTTTAAATTCATTTATATTAGTTAAACAGTCTTCTTGTTCTTCTATCTCTCATCGTAGTTTTAGAATATCGCTTATTAAGTCGCTTTTACAAAAACATTCGTCCCGTTATGTCGCACCTACCAGTGGAGATATCAGCAGCGATGTGCGACACCACCACCTCGCTGAGTTCGCGCTTCTGCCCGGTAAAAGTGGCAGGCAACGCCGCGTATGTGGCGTTTGCAAGAAGCGGGTACAAACGTATTGCGTAGGTTGCGACAAACCTGTATGTATGACCCCTTGCTTTCTCACTCTACATTCATAACTGCAGTTCATATTTAACTTTGTATGTTTCTTTGCAATATATTTATATATATATATATATATATATATATATATATATATATATATATATATATATATATATATTATATATATATATATATATATATATATATATATATATATATATATGTATATATATGTATATAGTATATATGTATATACGTATATGTATACGTATATGTATGTGTATTTATACATTTATATTATATATATATAAAAATTATGTACTATACCTTTATCATCCATAGCGTGATAAGCGTAAAACATTATCAATGCGACTTCCTGGTGGTGGTTTGGCAAGCGGTATATTTTGGCAATTATATTTTACGATTCTTGCAATAGTACCTAAATAATTTCTAATTCACGTTACAATAAATTATGAACACGAAACTCAGACCCGAAACAAAATCTAGGAAATTCAAATGTGACATCATTGGGTCTTATCCATATTATGTTAGCACTAATTTTTTTGCTCGTTGCCATTTTTTTGTAATATTACCTGTTTTCATTCTCGATTTATACAATGTTTTTGTTAAACAACTTTCCTTTTATTTGTGTATTTTGAATAGTAAATTTCATGCTTTTGTAGATAGTTTAATAATATTTCGAATAAATCCAATGGAATTTACTCTGAGATGCAAAGTTTGAGAGAACGCTTTACAGCCATTATTTTTATATGTTTTGTTTAAATTCTATAAATATTAAACTAAACAATTTATAGAATTGAAACTTCGTCTACATTAAGAACTTGAATCATTCTTTATTGTCAAATATTATCGCATGCCACTGGACTTACTCCTTTCTCAGAATTAAAGAACAAATAAACCCAATTTTTTGTGCGACGCTCGGGTCACCGTCCATGTGTTAAGACATTGAAATGCTTGTTGTGTAAAAAAAATGTATGGGAATGTGTGGTTATTTTGCTTTTTTATTGTAAAGTAGTGTATATTAATATAAATAAATGACATTTATTTTATAAATTAATAATTTTATTGTTTAATTTTCACGTATTATGTACAGAATACTATTAAAAATTCGGTTGCCTGACTTTGAAGTAAGATTTATTAAATCTCTTAAGCTGTATTCAACTTAAATATCTACAAAGTAATAGCAAATATTATAACAATTCAAATGACATAAGGTTTATACCTAGCTTCCATACAATATTTTAGAGAAATTACTAATTAAATAGCCACGCGTCGATATCGCGCAAATTACGTGCTAAGGCCCTAGCAGACGTGCAGTATTTGCAAAATCGCCGCCGCCACACGAGGTGCTTTAAGCACGTAATAAATTAAATGTTTACAGTTTAAACTGTTGATTCACTGCACAATGCTGCTGTAATTAATTTACAAATTAAGGATATATATTTCGAAAGTACGATCGTATTTCTATACTCTTATTTTCTCTTATTTATATTTATTCTATACTCGGAGTTTCTATTGACTCAAAGCTTCAAAAGGGAGTACATATTATTAAACTACCTTCTAAATTATGTTTTGAAATCTTCGCTAATAAAAGGTTTCAAAAATTTAAATGACATCAGATAAATTAGTACAGTTTACTTATTTCCAAATTACATTTCTTTGTGGGCATCACTGGGTAGAGCTACACTGGAAACAATATTCATTTTGTAAATGCAAGCAATACATTTAACCTATAGCCTCGGGCCTCACGGCTAACAATGATACCTTTAAAGGGAGACTAATATTCTTCAATTTCTTTTTTATCTTCTTTTTGAAAGCATCATACATGTATAGAAAATATAAAAATACATACATAACCATTCACGCCTGTCACCCAGAGTGGTAGGCAGAGACTACAGATTTCCATTTAGCACGATCCTGACACGCATACATGCTCGTCGGTTAAGGGTACTCCCAATTTGGCCCGTTTTCAATAAATCTATATAAAATTCCGAATCTTGATTATAAAAATATAAAAATGTATTAAATAAAAAACAGACTTTTCTTATAGAACGGGTCGAGGTGACAAGCAATTTGAGATAAGCTAAAAGCAAAAAGTTTTTTCCGAGTACACGCGCAAATTTTTACAATAAAATCCGAAAAAGTTCAACAATCAAACACAATATGTTTAATTTTGTTGAAATAGCCAACTACAAAATGTTATATGGATATATTACATGGAAAACGCTAATAAGTGGAAATAAACCCTTTCTACTGATATTTTGTCAAAACTGACTTTTTGACAAAATATAAATGAAGCGGTTTAGAAATACCCACTACCCCACGTCGTCCCGTGCGCGTTGTAAGATGTGACTAAGGGAAACAAACAAGGGGATGGACAACAGCATCTTTGACAACTCACCTGGCAAGCGTGGCAACTATGGTCAAAAACCCTCATGAGGACTCCTCAAGCAAATTCACCTCAGACTGACTCAGTCTTGTGAGGTGATTGCTCCGCAAACTCCGCGGAGCAACCGCCCCACAAAACCAGCTCAACGCTACGATTGAGTTGAGCACTTAGCAATAATCGACGCAATCTGGACTTTTCAGTGCGCTTACAAAACCCATAATGTCGGTACAACCGTTAGGGAGAACTAACCAAGCTCTCTGACTGTCACGTTTTTTAACGTAAACGGGTTCAGAGACAAAAAGACGAGATCGCGCTCTTCCTGCGCAACCACGATGTAGACGTTATGCTTGTGCAAGAGTCCTCCTTAAAGCCTAGCCATAGCGATCCCAAGATAGCAAATTAGAGTAGCGACTTTGACCTGAGACTGTTATATTTTTCAGCCTTTTTTCAGCCTTCGATGGGCTATATTAAATGAACGAATATGAAAAAAATATTTTGCATCGTATTGAATTTATTGTAATATACAGATATTCTTGCCGGCTATTTTCCTAGGTCTATATTTAGGAGGGAGGCCAATGTAATTAATGATATATTTATGTATATTTGTGAGGGATCATCATCATCATCATTACAGCTTTTCACAAGTCTACTGCTGAACATAGGTCTCCCCAAGGAATCCCACAAAGCGCGGTCCTGAGCCACCGGCATCCATTGACTTCCTGCATGTCTTACCAGGTCGTCACTCCATTTAGTGAGGGGTCGCGAGAACTCGAGAATCTTTATTCTTCGAGCTATATGGCCGGCCCATTGCCACTTCAGCTTACTACTCCGTTGGGCTATGTCGGTCACTCTAGTTCCACTGCGGATATCCTCTATCCTCTAACCTCAAAACGAGATTTTTATACTCCTTTTTGGGTTTTGAGGTTTTATTTAGATTATAAGGGATAATAGAAAATATTACTTGTTTTAAATGCTGTAAAGAAATGAAAAAATTTTATTAGAACACACCCAATCCCGTAAATGGATTAAATGGAAGCTCAATTTGTATAGTAACTCGTAATTTTGTTACACTAATACCATAATTGGAAACATAAGATTTTATTTCCAGCCTGTGCCACTGTAACCATAAAGTAGCGAATCCCACAAACATTAGTTTTGCTATTGTTTGTATTCCGATTTTCGTAAAGGTAAACAAAGTTGTTAAAGCTCAATGACGTCATAAAGTTATGCTTACGTGTATTTCTACTTACTACGTAACCATATCATATTATCAGAAGGTAAAACATAATTTTATATATTAATAATAAGAATCCTTAGACTGTCGACAAAGTTTTGTCCAAAATTCATGTAAGTAACTTTTTACATTTTTATAGAATAAGCGTCATAAATGATCGCACAGTACATCTGATGGTAAGTACATACTGTGACCCATAGACATTTTTAATTTTCATTTTAATCCTCAAGTGAAAATGAAAAAGCAGATGCGTTGTGATCCCTGAGTATCAAGATGAAAGGCCTTGTATATAGTTAAAAGTGTATCCAGTTCTCCACACTCACCGTGTGAAACACAGTAGTGTTGAGCGGATATTTTACGCTGGTATTTTGTGAGAGCGTGGTCCTTCCCCGGTGGAGCCGAGCATATAATTGCAGCGTGAATCTACCACGTATAAGTGCCGTTACAGTCTATTAAAGTTATTAGACTGTAATGGTATTACAGATTCCCTTATAGCGGGGATACATGCCATAGTTGCCACGCTTGGCAAGCGGGTTGGCAACCGCAGTTTATTTTCTATTTTTAGTTATTATTATGAAGACACTGGTGCCCGCCTCTCTTATTTCTGCAGCATATGTTGTGATGAAGATTAAAAATCTTACCAGCATTGCAACAGTCAGACTAGTTTAATTTACCTGTTTCCATAGCATAATGTCGTATGGTATTTTGCTATGGGGACAGGCAATTGAGACTGAAAATGTATTTGTTTAATAAAAGAGGACCGTAATAGCAATCTATGATTTAAAACCTGAAGAGTTACTCAGACAAAAATGTAAGAAATTCAATATATTTACTTTGTCCTCTCGATACATTTATGAAAATGTAATGTATGTTTACAAATATAAAAATAGTGTTAATGTCTTCCGGTCATGGGTTCACGAGCTCATCGTATAGTTAAGTGCATTTTAATAACCTAAATATTTACCAAACCTTTATTGGATTCAGAGCATAATTGACAGCTCCGTGGCACTGTGGCTTAGCAATGAGTTACAGAGCTAAGGGCCGCGGGTTCGAATCCCACGCAGAAGTATTTGTATGGCCTACAAGTAATTGTTCCGGGTCTATGTGTATATTAAATGTTTGTCCTTGTGAAATTTATGTTTGTAAATTGCCCCCACGATGTAGGAGAAAATCCTAGTGTGGAGGCAACGTTTTTAACAAGAATAAATAAATTATAATTTAATTATAACTGACGCCATCCGGTTCTCAGCTTCTGACGAAACCTAACATTAATATTATAAAAATGTTCGTTGAAATATTGATCAACAGTTATTTTACGATTTATGATTCAATATATAGATATTAATTATTAAAAATAATAATGTTAAATCAAAACAC